CGCCGTCGCTAACTCGACGAAGGAGCCCTCTCCGATTGTCGCCGTTAATTGGGTCGCTGCGCCTTGGCCGGAACAGAGAGAGAGAGTCGTCGGAGAGGTCTGCCCACCGTGGACTGGCATCGTCCTTCCTCGTCTCTAAATGGAGAAGAAGACGATGGCGGTGGTCTGCGGATTGGCTACGATCGAAGAAGAAGGAGGCGGAGACCCACCGTACGCGTGAAAAGCATATACATATGTCTAGGGTTTGTAGTCCCTAAATTAGAATAACGTGTCTGAGTAAAACACACTTTTCGGGTCCACCTGCTCTGAATTGAGATCCGTTGACATCCTTAGATTCGATTCGTCAATCCCTACCCAACTATATAACTTTTATATTCAATTGACAAACATTTATACGTTCCACTTGATCCGTCTTAATTCTTTCGATTAATTAGTACTGATCAATCTTTTATTTTAAATCTTCACAAATATAATCAGATTAGTTTCGTTATATTGAGACGATCAAAATCTCTAAAGTATCTTTTAATTCTTTAAAAGAGTAGATTGTCATAAATAAATACTTTTTATTTATTTAATTATCGATTAACTTCTAGACCGGTTTCTAGGACGTTACAACGGGGGTATATGAACTGTCGTTCCGAAGGGGACATTTATCTCACCTATCCAACAAGAAACTCCCTATAAGTTGAGCTTGATCTTCGTTCCGAAGAGGAATGTCATCACTCCAATAAGTAAGTCAGAATATGTATAAGCTTAAACCTAAAATAGAATATGAGCCAGGTAAGTTAGTAGACAAAAGTAGCGAGAGCATAACATCATATATTGATGATATTGTTTATAAATTGAATTGTTATGTTGATATTAATGATAAACTTGTACGCATGATATCGTGTGATGTTATGAACTTGTGAGGTCATATATATATATATATATATATATATATATATATATATATATATATATATATATATATATATATATATATATATATATATATATATATATATATATATATATATATATATATATATATATATATATAGACATACATACATACATACATACATACATACATACATACATACATACATACATACATACATACATACATACATACATACATACATACATACATACATATAAAAAATGTCTAGAGAGAGAAAAAATGAACCGGCGACTGACGCCGGAATCCACAATCGGAAAAAACTATTTTCAGAAGTATTGAAATCCCTTAAGGAAGAAGAAAAATTACAAGGTGCTGTTCAAGGTACATTCAAGGGATGTCCATCAGTTTCATTTACAATTGAAGATATCAAAGTACTATCAAAGAGATTCTCCTTTGCTTTGATTGGAACATTCTTGAGGCGTCCTCCATATCCAGTGATGAACAACTTCCTACAAAAACTTGGCCTCCAAGGGAAATTCACGTTGGGGAAACTCTCACAAAACCAGGTACTCATCAACTTTCAACTTGAAGAAGATTATCAAAGAGTTTTTTT